AAGAAAGAAAGAAGGAAAGAAAGAAAAAACGAACATTTGGCACTGAAAAGAGACAATATGAGAGAAAAACCACAAGAAGTAGAACCCAGTCATGGCTCTCAGACAATTTATGCGACCACATCACCACTGACATCTAGCCACCTAACTATATATACATACAAAATATAGTGCAGGATATATATATATATATATATATATATATATATATATATATATATATATATATATATATATATATATATATATATATATAAATTTAAATGTTAATTTAGTGGATACATGTAAAGTATGAGGAGACAATGCTCTTAGAAACACAGCCCGAATCTATGTCCCACGGCCTATGTATTCGACAGTCTTAATAAGGAAAATGTTCCTTCGGACAAAGATCGAACCTGCCTCCCCATTTTCAGGGAAAACATCGTATTTGTCATTCGAGAAAAGTTTTAATAATCTATCTATCTATCTATTTATCTATCTATCTATCTATTAAGAAGGTTTGGTTAAACAATTTAGATGTATTATGTTTATTTATGTCAGTTTTAATACATTCAAGTGCACGAAATAAACTGACCCAGAAATGTAGTTGGGATATTATTTGAAAATTAAAATTATTTGAAAGAAAATTTCATTTTTCTTCATCGATTTTCTACACTCACCAAGAAATAAATACGTGCAATTGAAAGTATTAAAACTAACACAAATACACATAATATGTCTAAATTATTTAATCAAACATGCCTGAATAAAAATATGCTAACTAAATAACTGGAATTTATGAACAGGGATCGTATCATTCATATACAGGTTCGGGGTTGATGTATCTTATTTATATTATTTGCAAAGATGTATTCTCGCCATTTAAATCATTAACCTCTATATTAGTTTCTTGTATGAATGATTCATGAATTTATATATATATATATATATATATATATATATATATATATATATAAAAAAACCAATTTAAACGTTATTTTTAGTGGGTACTCATATTTTCGGTAGATGCACCGTTAATTTAATATGTTTACTTTTTCGTCTACTGGCTTGAATATTCGAGAAATCTTACAACTAATTAATATGCGCTCTCCGGCAGGATTTGAACCAGCAAGGAGCAGCGGTAACCGTCTATATAGCCAACGTGCTTTACCTGGCTAGGCTACGAAGAACCTTTGCCGATCAAGACTGTTTGAATTGTGCCTATGAGCGACATCATCCTCGTTAATCGCAGGTGCAAACGCTTTTAAATGGATACTTCTTTAATCAAAATTTCTCGAATATTCAGACCGATGGACGAAAATAAATAAATATACAGTTCAATAAATAAACTAGGCGTATACTCAAATATTTGTATCCACTAAAAATAACGTTTACATTGATAAAATATATCAGATTAATAAATAAAAAATCCATTACTTCTTTAGAAATTGTTTTGTTTACGTTGGGCAGATATAAAATTTCGAAATTCTATAACGATTGCATGATCGGCCTAGGTTCTTCGTGGCTGAGTTGGTTAAAGCTCGACGGATCTAACGATGGTTCTGTCTGCCCAGGGGAAAACTGATAAGAATCCTGTCGGGGAAAGAACATTTTTCTTTAATAAGATTGCACGAATATTCAGGTCAGTAGACGAAAATAATTATAATTTTTAATAAAGAAACGGCGAGTCTACAGTAATATGAGTATCCACTAAAAATAACGTTTAAGCTAATAAAATCTGTCGGATTAATAAACAAAAGAAAATTAGTTACTACATTAGAAAAAAAAATAAATATGCTATTTAATTATATGACACGTGGAACTAGAACAACCTACGCCGGTGGACGAAATAAAAGGTTCGTTCAAAATTCCTATCACTTGAAAAAAAAAACCGGAGCGTACAACGACTGAAACGTCATGAATATGGTAACGAAGATGAGGACAACAGTCTGAACAATTTAAATAGTGTAAACTACAATAACTCATCTCAGAAATATAGAAATATCCTGAAGAAAGCCGGAGCGCACAACGGTCGAAATGTCGTGAATATGGCAACGAAGATGAGGAGAAAAGTTCGAACAGTTCAAATAGTTTAAGTAATTACAATACCTCATCTAAAAAATACAGACAAATCCTGAAGAATGCCGGAGCGTACAATGGTCGAAACGACGTGAATATGGCAATAAAAATGAGGACAACAGTTCGAACAATTCAAATAGTGTAAATAGTTGCAATACCTCATTTCAGAAATATAGACAGATCCTAGAGAATGCCGAAACCTACAACGGTCAAAACGTCGTGAATATGGCAACGAAGATGAAGGCAAAATTTCGAACAATGTAATTAGTTTAAATAATTACAATACCTCATCTCAAAAAATACAGACAGGTCCTGAAGAATGCCGGAGGGTATAACGGTCGAAGCGTGGTGAATATGACAACGAAGATGAAGACAAATTTCGAACAAATTAGATAGTTGAAATAATTACAATACAACATCTCAGAAATAGAGACAGATAAAAATA